TTTGGTGTGTGTGTTTGTTTTGCAGCGTCTTGCAGTGTAGTCTCAGCTGACTTCCAGCTGTTTGTGTTGATTCCCAGTCTCAGCCTTGGAAGTGCTGGTATAATCGGTATGAACTTCCCTGCCAGGCTTTTGACAGGTGGCTTTCTTGTCACATCTAAGTGGCTTTTCTTTGGAAGACTGAGTATAGGAATGAGCTACATTTGGAAGCACTGGGTATGTCTTAGGAGCTCTCTGGATGACTTAGGGGCCACCACTGGTGGTCTGGGGTTACTTACAGATCTTACATCTTTGTCAGCTGCCGGGAGCCACCCTACCAGACAATGGAAGTGTAAGGATGCTGTGCAGATGTTAATGTCCCCTTGTCCCCTTCCTCTAATCATTGCTGCCTCTTAGCCCTTTCTCTGTAGCCGTAAGGGACTCAGCGGCTCTCTCCCTGGGTCTGAAGCAGAGGTGCAAATCCTGGTTTCCTACAACTATTGACTTTGGAAATTGTGAAACTCAGACAGGTGTAGTAGCATGTGCTTGTCATTCCTGCGCGAGTTCAAGGCCAGCCTCAGCTACTTAGTGAATCTGAGGTTACCCTGCCTGAGTGGTCCTCACTTGGAGCCCCTCCCACTCTTGAACATTTTCTTAATTACCCTACAGACCATCGCATCAGCAGCCTTGAGAAGGACAGGAAGATGGGCTGGGGGTGAAAGAGAATGTCCAGAGAAAAACAGGATTGATTGCCAAAATAGCATCTGAAGGGCAGATACATTCCTACTAAGATGGAACTCCACGGAGGGCTCTGCGGAGAAGGGCATTTAGGGTGTTTTACTCAAGGGTGAGGTGGAAAGGTCTTATAACCACAGCTATTGTTTAGGTAACTTCTCCCGAAACCCAGTGACTAACTTTCATGTTGTTCTCTGTTTTAATTGCTCAGAGAAAAACGAAGCTGCCCGAAGTGGTCTGGTAGTCCTGGTCCCCTTTCAGTAAATACTGACCAAATGTACCAAATGATCTACCTCAAAATCCCAACAGGTTTCTGGTTCCATACGTCTGGTCTCAGATTACTTTCTGTGCTTAAAATACCCACCTCAGGGCTGTGCGCACTATTAACTTAAAGCTATCATCATCATCATCATCATTATTTTATGTGCTTGTTTTGTCTGCATGTTTGTTTGTGCACTTTGTGCCTAGTGTCCTTTAGATCTCCCAGACTTGGGTTGTAGATGCTTATAAGTTACCCTGTGAGTGCTGGCAACTGAACCAAGGTCCTCTGCAACTGCAAAAAGTGCTCCTAACTGCTCAGCCATCTCTCCAGCCCCAGGCTCACCTTCTGCCTCAGCCTCCCTAGAGTTGGGATTGTAAGAATGAGCTACCACACCAAGTCTGGAACCTATGTTTTCATTAAGATGTTAACTTTAATTATATAAGCAATGTAACTAACTATATTGTGGCTGTATTATAGAAAATAGAGACAGTAAGGTAAATTCCATTTCTTGAACATATGCATCACTCCTTTATAAAGTGCACCGTGTGTGCTCATTCTGTCTGTGTGCCGTCGTGTGCATGCTCATTCTCTCCGTGTGCCATAGTGTGCGTGCTCATTCTGTCTGTGTGCTGTAGTGTGTGCTCTTTCTGTGTGCCGTGTGTGCACGCTCATTCTCTCCGTGTGCCATAGTGTGCGTGCTCATTCTCTCTGTGTGCCGTGTGTGCGCGCTCATTCTGTCTGTGTGCCATAGTGCGTGCTCATTCTGTCTGTGTGCCATAGTGCGCGCTCATTCTGTCTGTGTGCCATAGTGCGTGCTCATTCTGTCTGTGTGCCGTGTGCGCGCTCATTCTCTCCGTGTGCTGTAGTGTGTGCTCTTTCTCTCTGTGTGCTGTAGTGTGTGCTCATTCTCTCTGTGTGCTGTAGTGTGTGCTCATTCTCTCCGTGTGCTGTAGTGTGTGCTCATTCTCTCTGTGTGCTGTAGTGTGTGCTCATTCTCTCTGTGTGCTGTAGTGTGTGCTCATTCTCTCCGTGTGCTGTAGTGTGTGCTCATTCTCTCTGTGTGCTGTAGTGTGTGCTCATTCTCTCTGTGTGCTGTAGTGTGTGCTCATTCTCTCCGTGTGCTGTAGTGTGTGCTCATTCTCTCTGTGTGCTGTAGTGCGTGCTCATTCTGTCTGTGTGCCGTGTGCGCGCTCATTCTGTCTGTGTGCCGTAGTGTGCGCGCTTATTCTCTCTGTGTGCTGTAGTGTGTGCTCATTCTGTCTGTGTGCCATAGTGTGCGCGCTTATTCTCTCTGTGTGCTGTAGTGTGCAAGCTCATTCTCTTCGTGTGCCACTCTCTTTCGAGAAAGACTGTGTAGCTGGAGGTGACCTTGACTTGTCTCTGACCCTTCTGTCTCCATCTCCTGACTGTTGGAGCTCTTTGCCTGTGCCACCATGCTTAGTTTATTTGGTGCTGGGAAGGATCTAAAGCTTCATGCATGCTAGGCAAAGGGCTCTCCCATCCGAGCCACATCCTTAGCCTTCAAATGCAGTATTTTCTACCATTCTATTCTATTTATAAATGAACACCAAAATCTTGAGTATCTCTCATAGCTTCAGCAATGGGTGAGTTTGTCCATTTTGACACGTGATTTGTGGTAATATTTCGTTTGTATTTTAATAAATAAAGCTTGTCTGAATATCACAGAGTAAGACAGCCCCACTGGTTAGCATTACAGACCAGGCAGTGGTGACACACACCTTTAATTCCAGTAGCCACACTAGATTGCCATAGAAACCCAGCAGTGGTGAGTGGTGCACCCCTTTAATCCCAGCCCTAGAAGGAATATTAGATGGGAGGAGACAGCTCTCAGAAACAGTCAGGATCGTCATTTCAGACTGAGGTCCAGGTAAGAGCCAGTGAGTGGCTGGTTTGCTTTTCTAACCTTCAGGTTGAACCCCCAAATCTGACTCTGGGTTTTTATTAATCCCGCTGCAGTGGCTAGTGAAGTGCTCCACTGTGTGGGTAAGCACAGTTCATCTGCTAAACAGCCAAGCTTTGCACTTTGGGATGGGCCCACTTTTTTTTTTCTTAAAAGAACTTATTTTTAAGTTAAGTGTGTATATACGAGGGAGGTGCACATGAGTGCCCGTGGTGGTGAAACTGGAGTCACTGGCAGTTGTGGTCTGCCAGGTGGGTGCCGGGAATAGACTGTTGTCCTCTGAAGGAGCAGTGGCGCTTCTAACTGTTGAGCCATCTCCCCAGCCTCCATCTCTCACTTTTTCTTTTTGTTACATCTTCTTACTTCAAGCACTTCCCTACCTGAGGTTATTTCCTTAGATTCTCAGAAATGAGATTCCCAGGTCAAAAGACATAGATATTTTTATGGCTTTTAATACATACCGTGAAATTGCTTTTTGAAAGGGTTATACTAATTTACAACGCCACCAGCATTTCCAGAGGCAACACAGGTGCTATTAAGAATGCTAATCGATAAAATACTGTACCCTAGTTGTTAAAATTTCGCCTTTTTTGAGGCTCATAAAATTAAAGTTTGTTGAAGAATGAGTATACAATACAAAACATTCTTTTGGGATATCTTTATTTTTGGAACAACCTAAGCAATTCTCCGCGGTGAACAACAGAAAAAGAACACATGTTGTTAGGATTGGCACAGACTGGCTTTGACGATCAATCCTAACGCCAAAACACTCGATCGACTTTTCAGTGCTTCTGCTAACAGCAAACAGAGGGAAAAAAATGTTGAGGAATCAAGCGGTGCAAGTTTACAGAGAAATTTGAAGCTCTGCTGCTTTTCATTAAACTGCGTTCCCTTGGGTACGCGTGCAGAATTCCTGCACTCTGCCCCTTTTCCTCCCTCCTTCCATCCTTTGCTCTTTCTTTTCGGGCCACGTGCAGAACCCTGAATTTCTGTGGAGAAGGCGCAGCAGCACTTTGCAGCACTCCTGCCCCGGGTTTGCGAATCCACCCGGTGTGGCCCTACTTCCAGGAGAGGCGTGCAAAGCTGCGGCCGGAATCCGGCTCATGTGCGGCGAGCCCGGGAGGGACTGTCTAGGCTAGCCGAGGTCGAGCGTTCCGAGCCCTGGATCCGCGACTGCAGCTTGGGACAGGCACCCATGACTCATCGGCTCCGCCGGTCACATGGACAACGTGACCAAAATAAAGTTTCAGTATTTTAAGCCGCTAGAAAAGGGGACAGAGAAACGCGACGCGGGCGGGAGCGTAGGGCTGCCGCGGGGACGCAACGCCGGCCAGGGGGTGGGGACCGGAGGCCAGGAAGGGGCGGGGCCTGTCGGAGGGGGCGGGGCCTGCTGGGAGGCGCGCCCCTCCCCCGCGGCGGCCAGCGACGCCCGGACTCCTGGCCGAAGGGTTCGGGGACATCGCGAGCACGCCTCGGCGCCTCGCGTCCTGTCCCCCAGATCCGCCCCTCGCCAGCGCCGCAGGATGCGGGATCCCGGAGATCCGGCGTATCCTCCACAGACACCGGGACCCCCGCGCGCCGGCAGCGGCTTCCCCGGGAACGTCCTTCAGCTCCGGGAGCACGCGGGAAAAGCCCCAGCACGCCAATGAGCGAGCGCCTTCCTCATGACGGTCACGCTGGGGGGCGGGGCTTCCCACAGCCGTTCCCGAGTTCCGGGAACCCCCTTTGATTGGTCTGGACGGCTTGGGAAACACTGTTGTGACGCCCAATCAAAACACTACGTCTCGGCCTCGAGGAAATATTCCGTGTCAGGCTCGTCCTGATTGGGCCGAGCTTGCGGGCTCTGGCCACTAGAAAGCTTTGTTTAGATCTGGAGGGCGGGTTTTCCTGGGAGTGGGTGGGGAGGGGGCGTTGATTCCAGACCAATCACATTAGTCGGTGCGGTGGTGCTCAGCCAATGGGCTGGGTGGATAGGACGCTCCTCCCGGAGAGTAGTGAGACCCCTGGTGCAGCCCGATTGGTCACAAGAGCCGTGACTGGCAGTCGCACTACCCAATGGGCGCTGTGCGTGGGCCGCGGGGCGGGGCCAGGGCGGGTGCGCGGCGGCGGCGGGGTGGCTGGGCCGGCGGCGGCGGCGGTACGAGGCGCGCGCTCGGGGTCCCGGTCGCGAGGAGGAGGAGGATGTGGCGCGCGGAGGGGAAATGGCTGCCGAAAACAAGCCGGAAGGTGAGAGCCGGAGCGCGAGGGCCCGGGGCTGTCAGGATGGCGAAGGCACGGCGGGCCCGGGGCCGCGCCGGACATCCCGGGCATCGGCGGCGCGGGGCGCGAGCGCGGGGGCGCGGCGGGCGCGGGGAGGGCGCCGGCAGGGTGGGGGGGCGGAGCGCGGCCGAGTCCTGAGGTGACTCGCGGGCCGGCCAAGCGCGGCGCCCCGCACCCAGCCCCGGGGGCGGCAGGCCGGGGCGGGGGGCGCGCGGGGCGGGGGCCGGGCCCTGGGAAGAGGAGGAGGAGCCGCGGCACCTCCCGCACCCGGCCCGGGGCATTCCCGCCGCGCCGGCCAGGGCGTGAGGGGGCCGCGGGGAGGAAAGTTTCCCGGGCCGCGGGGTCTCGCGGTCATCCGTGCCGGCGACCGTGGCGGCGTCAGGGCCGGACGTTCCCCTCCACAGCCCCCCTCGGGCCGCGAGGCGCCTCCTAGCGCCGGCGTGGGGGGTGTCCCCGCGCGGGTCCCCGCCAGGGGGCCCCCCTCGTGCCGAGCGCCCCTCGGCTGAGGCCCCGGGCGACCCCTCCCCCAGCAGGGCCGGGGGCCTCGTGCGGCCTCCCCGCCCCTCACGGCGTGCTCTTCCACTCTTGCCCTTGCACCCTCACTGCCGAGAGGGTGGGGTCTCCACACTGCCTTGCCCTTTACCTTCGGTGACCCCGATCCTCGTCGAGCATGGAGGGTTCCGTGCGAGCCTGTCCCCCTTTTCCGGGGAGTCTCGTGGGGCCGCGGAGCCTCGGCACGCCGGGTTTACCCTTCTTCGCCAGGACAAGGGGACTCGGGCTTACCCATGCTCTTCTTCTTTGCTCGCCCAGTGGCTCGCGGGGCCCTGTGCAGCCCTGAAGTCATTCTCCATAGGAAGGCAGACACTTTTTCCAGATCTCCACTCTCCGCACACTTTCCTGGGTTAGGGTGAGCTCATTTCCTGAATACCCTTCGAGTTGCCCTCTTTCTCGTGGGGAAAACCGGACGCTCCAGTGCTCCTCTCCTCCGCTGTCTGCCTCTCTCCTTGGAGTTCCCTGTCTGGGCCAGGGTGGGCGCCCCAGTAAGATGTAGGGCAGCCAGGGCTTCCGATGTGTCTACCACTTGAGTGAAAAGAAACCTCAGCGATTACTCCTTTCTCGAAGGAAAACAAGGATCTATAGCTTCCCGTTCACTCTTGGATCTTAGGGGGCACCCTTCACCAATTAACACTACCCCACTGGGAGAAGGGTCATATGCCCTTGAATTTTGTGTTCTGATGCCTGTTTTCTGAGCAGTAAGAACCATACTTTATGCGTCCCACTCAAGAAGTCTTTGAATTTTTCTTGGAAATAAACTTCCCACCCCCCCTTTTTTTTTTTTGAGAGAACTCATATCCTCCTTATGGTTTCTGTTTCCCAGTCAGCCATATTTAGTGAGCCTGTTACCTTGACTTTTTCTAATTTTCTCAAATTGTATTCATGTTGGCTGGGTAAGGAGAAGCCATATGCCTTTCTATCCAGAATAGGGAGCGTAGACACCCTTGTCGCCCACATGCCATTTGAGAAGAGGTAGCTTGTGTGCTCCTTGTGGTACCAGAACCTTCCTTTGCCCTGGTATGTCTCTAGTGGGATCAAAACATTTCTTTGGATCTTGTACCTTTCAGGCAAAGGGGAAATGTCTCTCTTTTTTGCTGTTTTGGTTCTCTTTGGCATCACGGAGCTTGTGATGCCCTGCACAATTGTTGAAGACGTAAACCACTTGGTACATACATGCAGTCACATTCGTACATAGAGAGAGGAAGTTCGAAGGGTCAGGTGAAAGCTCTTTGCTCAGTGTGTGTGTGAACTGTTAGCATGCAAGCTTGTGTTTTTATATATACATATCCAAATATGTTGTTGGTGACTTCAGGCTTAGAAGAATCAGAAGTATCGTTGATATATGCCATTTCTTACCACTCCTTCATTTGTCATTTGTATTGTACTGAATAAGCAGAATGCCACCCAGAGCAGTCACCACATCTCCCGTGTGGAGTGCTTGCCGATGAGTGCCCAGACTTTTCCATTTGGAATCTAGGGATGGTATTCTTGGCTTGATTCTGTGGGGAGTAAAAGTTGTTCTTGATTTTTTTTTTTTTAAACTGCAGTATAGGAGAAAGATTTCCCGTGTTTTGGGAAAACGATAGGAAATGGAGAAAAAGCTGCTTTTCCCTAATAGAACTGGGAACTGATGTCCTCAAGTATGTCCCTGTTGTATTTCAGCCAATGAAGTGAGAGACGCCATGAAATTAGGAAAAGGTACCTTTGGAAAAGTGCTTGCCACTTCCTGGGAAGGTGGCAGGGTTTTTCCAGGTTCTCTCTGGGGCTGGTGAGTGTTGAGAGTTCAGCAGCTCTGGCTCTGTTCAGGTGCCTCACTGCTCTGTCTCTTGCATTTCCCTCAGCAGTTAAGTCTTACTTGTGTGGAGCCTCACCCTGCATCCAGCTCTGTGCGTGTGCACACGTGCTTTTGCACACTTTCTTAGGAAGGGAGCCCTCTACCTTGATTTCCCAAGTAAGGAGATGTCTCAGTTGACTTCTGGTTTTGCTTTTCAGCGTGGTACCCACCGCCAGAAAGCAAAGCTTTTGGTCTGATTTTCTGGGTGTGTCTGTGTGTCTTCTTCCCCTTTTAGGCAGTTTTCATCCTGTACCTCTCGTTATCTTAGGGGGCTTGTTTGTTTCTAGGGGTGCTAGTGAGCCTTGAAAAAATGAAGAGTGGAATACCTGCTACGTATGTTGGCATAGATCCAGGAGAGTCATCTTGTTTCTGGCTCTTCTGTGCCCTTCTCTAGGCCACCAACTACCTTTGGGAGTTGTCCTGTCCAGCAGGGTGCCACACATGGGGACTGAGCAAGGTGAGGTAATGAAGGTCTAGCTGCTTGTCAAAGTTGGACAAGCAGGCACTTATGGTGTGGCTGGGCTCTGGGTGGTTGGGAATCAGTGCTTTCCTCCTGCCCTCTGCAGGGTTTTCTCTTGCAGTTGGCTAGGTTACTCTGGTTTCCTTAGTTACTTTGCTTTTTTTCCTTTGCATCTTTCTGTGTGAACGTGACTTCCCCTTCCATCTCTCTCTTGTCCCCTTGAAGACCTGACTCACCCTGTTTCTGGGAAATGTTGGGTTTCTACATCTCACCTTTCAGTGGATTCTGCATGTTGACTTTTGCACAGCAACCTCTTCTCAAGGTCAGATGGGGTCAGCTTTCCCTTTTCAAAAGACTAGCATCACTCTTGCTCTTGGAGGTGAGTTTATGTCATATTTAGCTACCTCTTCATTCTTTTCACTTTATCAAAAAATTGAATATTTTGTCTTTTTGAGACAGGTCATGTTTTGTAGCTCAGGCTAGCCTAGAGTTTATTGTGTAGAGTGTATTGTGTATTTGGCCTTGAACTTGAGGATCAGGCCTCAGCCTTCTGAATGCTGGAGTCATAAGCAGGGGGTGCCATGCCCTGCTCAGCCCCATTTTTTGATGCTTTAGTTTTTAGGCCCTGGTGATTTTGGCTTTTCCCCCTGAAATGGCCCTTTGGAGAATGAGGATGGAACAGTTTACCTTTGTTTACTAGGTGTTAGTCTGTGTGCCAGATGGATTTGAATTCTTTCTGATCTTGAGGTAGCCACTCTTGAGCCCATTCCCTACACCCTGTTCATGACTTTGGCCCATTCCTTATGTCCTGTTCGTGGCAGCTTGGGGAACACTCCCTTTGCATCTTATGGGAACAGGAATAGAAGAGGGTTCTCACGTCCTTGGCTTCCTGCAGTTGTGCCTATTGAGTCTTTAGTGGCATCTTAGTGTCTGCTCTTTTGACATCATTGTCGGGTCTGCTCTCCTTCACTCAGCTATTCACTCTGGAGCCCTTTCCTGGATGTTTGTTGTGTGCAAGGAACTGTAGGGTTTAGTGACTTGCCTGAGACCATAGTGGATCTTGTTAGCCCTTTTTTTATAAATGACATGTTACTTTATCTATTCTTGACTTTAATAAAGTTCTATAAACTTTTCTGAATTTTAATTTTTGTGTGTTGTAATCTTACAAAAAAAACTTCAATAATGTGCGTTCTTGTGGAGCTTTTCCCTTCCATCCTGGAGGAATAGGGGTGGTGAAGAGGTTAGAGGGTTTACTGGGAGAGGTGTTTTGCAGCTTTCCTCTAGGTTGTGGGGTTTGTGTTTGTGTGTGTGCACATATAAGAAAATAGTCACTCTTAATGTGACTGTCTAGGTATAACTTTTAGGTAATTTAGATATGTGATCGGAATGTTTAGTATACATTAGAACAGCAGCATTTCATACACGTATTATATGCATGGAACATAGCATTTATATATAACAGATCATTTTTACATAAAGAGCTTTTAGAAAAGCATTCTTTTCTTATGATCTCCTTGGTTCATGTATTAAGCACTGGATAAGACATCACTCTGTTTGCTGTTTAGTTATCTAAATCTAATGCCTAAGTTTGGCCACCACTCCAAGGCCAGAGCCGATACAGTTATTAGCTTATTATGTGACTTCCAGTTCTTTATGCTGTTTGATAGTACTGTTATTTGTATCTTTCTTTTTTCCTAAAACCTGATTCTTTTTGTGTGCAGATGAGGTATACATCATGATGTTGACGTTGATCAAAGTTAATCTGAAGTGTGCTTATTTTCCTCTCCCAAGTCAGGCTTTCCCTCCACAGAGGCTGTAGAAGCCATGTCTGTAGCTGTCACTCCTGTGGCAACCCATACAGTCTGTGGATGGCTGTCCCTTTTTCCACTGGTTCTTTTGTGGTGACAAGTTATGTCTTTGCATTTCTATATTGCATGGCCCATCTTTAATATTTTGTATCTTATGGATTCATCATACTTGGCTTATTATTCTGGGCAACTCAGGTTCTACCTCCTTTTCCCCTTCTGTGCCTGTAGACTAGGTGGGTGGCATGGGATCTAAGTCCCAGCAAGGGGACAGAGGTGTGAGTGAAGTGCTGTCCTTCAGATTACTGAACGT